TTGGCCTCACAGGGTCATAGGATGACCATACTGTACCCAAAGACACAAAATGAGGTAGCGTATAGGAGACTCTTGATGGCTGAGTTGAGATGAGTTAGCTCTGTGTTCTCTAGAGCACCTGCCACTATTCCTGGTGAACAGTATACTCTCAGACACAGGAAAAAATAATTGTAGCATGGAGAATTTAGTGGCCAGGCCGTCCATCCTTCTGCAAGCCTCCCCTTATTGGCCCCAACAACGACAGGCAATCCTGACCAGGGCACTACTGGTTGTGCACAGAGCTCAGCATCATACTCCTCCTCCAGACCTGGAATGGAGAGGCAGGATTCCTTCCGCTTCATCCTGAATGGTGGAGAGGGACTGCCTCCCACCTCCTGGTGTCAGCCTCCAAGTCTTATGGTAGAGAATCAACTAGAAAAAGGGCAGTGAATGACACAACCGCAGGCAACATAATGGTGCTAAATTGGTTCTGTGTCCTCCTAATCGCCACAGTAACCCTGAGAGGTAGTTATTACTATTCACATTGCACAGATGAGGAAACTGGGAGTCAGAAAGGCTGAGTGGCCTGACCTAGGTTAGCCTTCCTAACAGTCTCTTGGCTAGGAAATGGTAGAGCCTAGGTTCTGTTAACCTAACCTGGTCCAGGACCTTTGTCCCATGGCCAGTGGAAACAGGAAGCAGACCTTTCTCCAGAGGTGTACCTTCTCCTGTATGTGCAGATCCAGACACCTGACTTTCAAGGTGGATCCTTAGCCAGACCCTGGGCAGGCAGCACAGTTCCTCTGGCCTAGGGCCTTCTGCTTCTTTGAAGTAACAACCAGGCCTTGGAATAAGCAGGTGGCTTTTCACTAAGCCCAGTTTGAGGTCAGCAGATCAGAGCCCTGGCAATAAAAGGACTTCCTTCAGAGGGTAGCAAGGGACTGAAGAGGTATAGGGAATGTTGCTGGCAGGATGGGCTTTACAGAAGTCAGTAGGTCTTCGTGGGATGGCAGCGCCCTTTTTTTAACCCTTTGGCTTCCTAGAAAACCATCTTTCCTAGGGTGGTGAAGTTATAAAGCCTGGGGTGATGCCTGGATGGGGATGCTGCAGGGGTGATCAGAGATGGAGTATCCACAAACAAATGCTGAGTTGGTCACCTTTGGAGGAGGATGTAGAGTCCCTGCAGTGTGGGAGGTTGAAAGGGCCAGCTGAGTTGGCCTCACTATGGAGCACCACACACCCCAGCAGCCTACCATGTGCTCATACCTCGGAGTCCAAACCACACTACATAGGGCCATGCTAACCTCTACACCAACCCATACCTCCCTATGCAGCACCAAACTCCTCACCAATCCCTGGGGCCTCCACTTCAGCCCAGCCAGAGTCAGAGTCCAGGGAGACCACAGGAGTACTCAGGCCTTCCTCAGCACCTGGCTGTCAGCAGGGCTGCCTCAGCACTTCCTCAGAGCAGCTGTCTCTTCACCTTCACTACCTGAAGACAGAGGAGCCACAGAAGGTGGCCAGAGAGAAGGGCTGGCTGGGGGACAGTGATCAAAGGAGGAGGGGTTTGAGTTTGTGTGCAGTGAGAAAGAGAGAGAAGGGAGAAAAATAGCAGAGGCAAGAGGAAAGGCTGCCAGGGCTGGAGGGACACAGAGCTACTGTACTCCAAAGATGCAGCTTGTGTTGGACAGCGCAGCGGCCAGGCCGATTTATTGTTTATTTTATTATTCTTGCTGGCTGGGCTTTAGGCCAGGGAAGTTATTTCAGGCAGAGATCATAGCACATTAATTAGTTATTAGAAGAATGTCCTTTCTGTGTATTCTTCCTGAGACAAGAAATAGACCCTGTGGCAAGCACATAGAATTGAAAGTGGATGGATACTCAGGAGGCAAAAAGCCAAGAACCTTGGAAATCAGAAGCAAGTCTTTGTTTCCAAGGGAAGGGTCCCTCACAGGTTCAGGCCTGGAACAGAGACGAGAATCAAGGCAAGAAAGCAGGGAGGGGAGAGGGTGAGAGCCAGGCATGGCATGCTTTCCTACCCCAGGACATCTTTGTTCATTTTGGGTAAGGGCTGTTGGACCCACTTGCCCTCTTGGAAAGCAATAGCGAAATATGACTCTTAACTCAAAAAAGAAAAAAAATAAGAACAAACAAAAATGATGTACAACCTTTGGCCTCGTAATTCCTCTTCTGGGGATCTGGTAAAAGCAGTTCAATGTTATGGGCAGTTCTACAATGGCAGCAAATTAGAGATGACATGAAACACTCAAGCAGTTAGGGAAGTACATAGTTGCAACCACAGGTAATAAAATATTGCATAGCTGATCAAAGTAGTGATTTCATGGGAAATGCTCATACCACGAGTTAAAAAAATGTAACGTACAAAATTACACATATCACATGATCTCAGCTGTGGTATAAAACAGGTAAAGTCTTGGAAAGGTAAATATATATGAGAGAAATAAATGTATGTATATATATATACACGTATATATATGTATGTATAAATATATATTAATATATATAAATGTGTATATATAGTATATAAAATATAAATGTGTATATAAATACATATTTATAGTATATAAAATGCTTTATTCTGAGTTATGGGCAATGATTTGTCTCTTCTTCAAATTTATTCTTTTCTGCATTTTCCAATGAAAAGAAAAGAAACAGCTGGATTCAATAAGAAGACAAATGGATAATGTGGCTTGGGAGGCAACTTGTGCTACACCCCCCCCATCCTGCTGGTTGACTGCCCCAGCGAGGGGAAACAGCTATTGATGCAGGAGCTAAATTCGGGACTGGCATGACTGGGGAAGGGAACTCTTGGACTCAGAGGATAAGAAAGAAGAGTCATGTGCTCTCCCGCCTTCTGTCTCCCTCAGATAAGGAATAGTCTGGGGCAACTCTGCCATTTTTGTAGACTCAGTAACAGCTCACGATGACTCAGGCAAAGCCAGGAGCGTGTCTCAGACAAAAGGCACTTAAACCTGTCTGCTGCCTGGGGACCCTGCCTTTAGGAACACTCACTTTTCCTCATCATCCCTCCCCTTCTGCTAGATGTCTGTTGGGAACTTCCCTTAATTGAGACCATGGAGATGCTAAGGCGCAGGTGCTGCCTCACAAATGCTCACGCCCTGGGAAGGAGGCATGATGTCCTGAGAGTTATAACCAGGTATGTCCAGAGGGCCAGGTAGGGCCATGCAGGGCAGGAGCAATCTGCAAATGGCCCGTGCTTCCCATGAGGCATAAACCCAGCCAGGAGGAACACAGAGATCATAAAGGAAGTCGTGTATAAAACCCAGGTAGCTCTGAAGCATCTTTGACAACAATGAATGTTTAATAAAATGGGGAGCTGGGATTGGATCAGAGGTTCATCCCCTAGTGGCCAAGTTGAGCCACCAACATTATATATAAACTTGGGGTATATGTGTATTTTTCTAAGATAGATCCACAGCTTTCATTAGATTTTTAAACTTTAAAAACATTAAAAAAGCAATGGGTTAGGTTAATCTTTAAGGGCCCTTTCAGTTCTAACAGTATAAAACATACAAGAGTCAACAAACTCTCACCCCCAGGTTGTAAACTTTAGAAACTATTTGACCTCTCGAAGCTGCTGAGCCCAAGGCTGTCCATTCCACAAAGACAAACTTGATCTGGCGCTCTGTTCAGACATGATATGTTCGCATGGTGCACATCATGCTTCTAGAAGGCTTAGGTTACAAGCTTAGCCTCAGAGAAAATTAGTACCTAGAAAATTAGTAACCAGACTGTCATCTTGCTGCTCTCCTCATAAACAAAGTACTTGGCTTTGAATGGTGCCGATGCTCAAATAACCAATGAATGGAAACAAAAGGACCCCTGCTTTGGAACCCTATGCAGGAGATGAGTACCCTTGACTTTGGGGGCGGACACCAAATCTTATTCCCACACTGTAGGAGCATGACTCTCAACACAGAGGGTCACAAGCACTCTCAACAGTTTGGAATGGTTATACGCGGGGCCTTGCAGGTTGTGAGCATTGAGGACTGGAGAGGGGCCTGTTCTCCACAGATAGGAAGGATGCATATCACTCTGGCGATGGGCAAATAGGGACCTCTCTGAATGCGGGCTGGGCAAACTGACTTCCTGAGGATCTTTCCACCCCAAGGATTCTGTCATTCAGGATGAATGGATGACTCACCCTCAAAGTTGCAGGCATTTAGCCAACCCTCTCCTCACACCCATCTAGCACTTCATCTCAGTCCTGAGGCCACCAGTTACGTGGCTTTGGACTATTCGCTTAATCTCTCTATTGCCTCTGTTATCTCACCTGCAAAACCAAGGGGCTGGAGAAAGCAATGCCAATAATTCTTTCACATCTAAAAGTTTTAATATTATTATTGAGCCATTACAATCAAAGAAGAAAAATAATTAAGATGACTAAAAGTATTCTGCTTCTGGACTTTGCATCTGCTGAGACTCCAAGAGATATACCTCAGAACTCTTCCATAGAGAAGGAAAATTATAAAAGGACAAGTGGCACTAAGGGGGCCCCTGGGTCCCAGCCCACCCCCCGTTTCCAGGCCTACACCCATCAGAATAACTCAGCTGCAACCATAAGATCCCCAGGCAAGTGCTGAGCCCAGTAAAATGCCATCAAGGACAAATCCCTAAAAAGTGAGGGTGAAAGACATCCCCAGCAGCATATGCTGCTCCAGAAACCAGAAGCTCTCCCACTTATGCCTTCTGGACCTCAGTTTCATCGTCCAGAAAATGGGGAGAACAAGAATAATTCTGAACTTGAACTGCAAACTGACCACCTTCACCAAGGCCCAAGAACAGTGGACAGACACCATGTAGGACAAGGAGGGAGACCAGCAGAGAAATTGTGGGATCCGTTTTTGAGGCTGAACTCAAGGAGTTCTCGAGAGCCCTTAACTAAAGAGTTATCCCTAAACAGGAGTGGGGGCCAGGAATGACCCAACAGACTCAGCGGTGAGCGGCAGCGTGGGCTGCGGGGCCCTGAGTCGGCTCACCTGATGAAGGTGGTCTTTCCAGTGGAGTACTGGCCCACCAGCAGGACCATGGGCTTGTTGTCGAAATCCGCATCCTCCAGGGCCGGCGAGTGGAACTCGTGAAAGCGGTAGTGCTCTTCCAGGGGCAGCAGCTTGCTCTTGTAGAGTTTTTTGAGCCCCTCACTCACGGTCTGGAAGACCTCGGGGTCCTTCCTCCGGCGGTCGTCGGTACCCAGCCAGCTGAACATCGCGGCGGCGGCGGGGAAGGCTCCTGGGGAAGGCGCTGGAGACGCGCCGCCACCTCACCGGAGCGCGGGGCTCAGCCGCACCATGGCCCGGGCGCGCGCGGTCCCTTGCTGCTGGACCCAGCCCAGCCCCTGCTTCATCGGCAGCCGGGTCGGGGAGGGAGATGATCCGGACTGCGGGAGGGGGCTGGCAGCCTTGGAAATGACAGCCGAACCTGCAACGACACTGACAGATACCGGGTCCAGTGCGGGAGGGGTACCCGATCTCCTGCCAGGCGCGCGCCTAAGTGATGCCCGGGGCCCAGGCGGGTCAGGGGAGGCGACGGAGGCAGCAAAGCTCAGCCTGCGGACAGCTCCGCATCCGCAGCAGCATCCCGCAGCCCCGGCGCACGTTTAAATGCCAGCCCCGCAGGAAGCCGGCGCGTGGAGGAAGTCCCCGAGTACTGGCAAGGCCCCTCTGGCCCCGCGGTTCTGGCTGCACGAAGCCGGGCAGGGCGCCGCCATGTCTGTGGGCAGGCGCTGCGCGGCCCCATGGCCGCTGGCTGGAAAGGGATGCTGACCGAGTCCGGTGGGAACGCGCTGGCATTTCAGTCCCTCTTTCTGGGGGTTTGATTTGGGAACAGCGCCCTCTCAGGGACGGCTGCGAAGACAGCGTTAACCTACTCATCCCTCTCCCTGCTTTGACATCCTGTTACTTTAGTTTACTGAGGTCAATTCCCTAGGGTCACAGGTACTCTAGTAATTGGGACTATTTTTCTTGGGACATGAAAAGAAATGCCAGGTTATAAAATAACCTGAACGTCCACTAGCTAATTTTTTTTGCTAGGCGTGGAGTAAAGTGAAAACTGTTTCTGTTCATTCCAATAAAACAAAAAACAAAAAACAACCCCAACACACACAAGTATTGAGTCCACATTATGGGGCAGACACAGATTGGTGACTGGATACACAGGTGCGCATCTGCTCTTCCTTGTAGATTTCCACAGGAGGCACGTGTGCAGGATCCTCAATGAAGGACCAGGGAAGAAAGGAAGCCATTCCAGCCCAAGGAAAAAGCCTTGCAAAGGCCTGAGATGTGGAAGGCCTTGGTGTGTCCAAGGCAGTTGGCATAGCTGGAGCAGAGGGTTCAGTAGCGCCAGGTGTGAATGCCTGTGCATGCCAAGGAGGAGCCAAACTGTGATGAGAAAGCTATAACAGTATGTTTACTGATAATTGTCATGTTAACAAAATGTTCACCATGGGCAGGTGCTTGGACTAGGATCTTGGCAAGTACTGTTTCATCTAAACTTCACAGCAAGTCTGTGAGGCAGATCATATCATCTCCTGCATCATGCCAAGGAGAATGAGTAGAATAATGGCCAGGTGTAGGTGAAAAGGGGTGTTGTTGTTCATGGATAATTTAAATGCAATAATGAAGCAACTCAAAGTCTATCTGCCTCATACTAGCACTGTTCTAAATGGTGTGGTGATGAGTCACTCCTTCCTGCCAGGGCAGAGGGCTTCCAGTACCCTTCCTTCAGCAGATGGAGGTGACTAGTAAATGGACCTGGCAGGACTGATGATGGTGGGAGCCCGGCAAGGAAGAAGTGCAGAAACAAGAGGCTGGAAGCCATGGGCTAAGAAACTACTCAGAGTGGCAGGGAATAGCAGCAAAGGGATGGAGATGAGGTCAGATTCCAGAGATTTTTATGGCATAGAATTGATAGATCTTTGTGAGCAGTAAAAGAGAGGAAGGAAGGATGAGGTGCCTAGGGTGATTATGAATTTTCTACTGCTAGGGCCAAGACAGGTGGAGAAGCTCTTCCACTAACTGGGGCATCAGAAGAGTATATTTGGCATACATATGTGTGTTCAGGCAGAAGTGTGCTACACTTGAAGGGCTTGTGGGAGCCGCAGGTGCAGGAGTGCACTCACTGAAGCTGTGGGAATTTCTGTGGGGTCATCACAGGTGAGTGCTGAGTGGGATTTCCTTAGTTACAGCTCAGGTCTCCTGACTCCCTCCTTAAATCCCAACACTGATCACCTTTCTGAGCTCCCTTCAGCTCCAATCGAGAAACCACTGTGATCCATATTGCGCCCTTGGTGTTTGCATTAGCACCAACATTCGTGAGCCTAAGCGGTAATTCAGCAGAGATTTAACAACTCACAGGGCATGGGGTTGAGTAATCAGAACAGACACTAGCCTTCCCAGGTGAGCAGGGCCGGAGGCCCCACACTGTGGCAGGTATGATCAGGGTAGCAGGGAGGAAACTGGGGGTCTTATTATGGAAATATTTCGGTATGTTTGTAAGCTACTGTGTACCACTGAATGCAGCTCTGAGCAGCTAATTCACCCAGTGCCTCTTGACATATCTACCCGTCTCATCTCTGAATAGTCCAAAATCAATCCTTAAAAAGGAACTATGTAATAATAGCATTTCTATGTACTAGCAAAAGTTATAAAAGAGAATGTCAAAAAGATCCTATTTTCAAAGAACAAAAACCTAAGGACAAATCTAACAAAAGATGGCTGAAACCTTTAGGTGGAGAACAATCAAAACTTCATGAAAAAACACTCAAGAAGTTCTAAATAAGTAGGAGAGGCATGCCATGTTCAACAAGAGAGGATTCTATGCCACAGAGATGTGAATTCTTTATAATGTAATTGATAGATTCAATAATTAATAGGTATAATTTAAATCAAAATACAGTTTTCTATTGAAATTAATAATGTCTTTCTAAAATGTATTTGGAACAATGGTTCAAAAATAGCTTAGATAGTCTGTCTAAGAAGAAGATGAGCAGAGGGAGAAGGAGGGAAAAACAGCAATAGTGAAAACTAAGTGAGGGGAATTTGCCCTAGTGGATGATTTTACAAAGTTGCAGTGGTTAAGAGAGTGTGGTTTTAGAACACAGATACAGCAATAGGGCAATGACACAGTAAAAAAAAGCCAGCAAATACATAAATCTGTTTTATACACACACACACAGAGAAATTGCAATAGAGAATGCATATATATTACAAGGTCAGAAAGAATCCCTAAAGCAAGACACAAGAATACAAATTACAAATGAAAAAGATTAGTAAGTTTGGATCTAGTAAAATTAAGAACTTCTTGTTTAACTAAAGATACAAATGAGAGTGAAAAGATATTTACAATACACACAGCAAAAAAATGCATACCTGAGATGTAGAGTTAATTCCTGTACATGACAAGAAACAAAGGCATTCCAACAGAAAAAAAAATTGGCAAAAGACACAAAAGAAGCTTTTACAAAAGAAGCTATTTGGGCCAGGTATAGTGATTCAAGCCTGTAAACCTAGTTACTTGAAGGCAGGGATTAGGAGGCTCTGGGTTTGAGACCAGCTCAGGCAAAAAGTTAGTGAGACCCCAATTTTAACCAGTAAAATTGGGCATAGTGGTACATGCCTGATATCCCAGCTACTCAGGTGGCATAAAGAAGAACATGGTACAGGCTGGCCTGGGCATAATGCAAGATTCTATCTGAAAAAACTAAAGCAAAGCGGCCCTGGGGTTGTGTGACTGAAGTGAGAGATCCCCTGCCTAACTTGCAAGGCCCTGAAATTAAACCTCAGTAGAGAGAGAGAGAGAGAGAGGAGAGATGAGAATATGGCAGTTAAAGGCCAGCCCAGGTAAAAAAGTAGTGACACACAGGCAATAATTTATGTCTTTGTATGTGTCCTTCTCTATCCTGTCCCCTCCTCATCTCTTCTGGAGGGAACCCCGTCCTGAATTTAGTGTATCATATTGCCTTACTTTTTATATCTGAAGAACATCTTGTGCAGTTTATAAAACACAACTTTATAAGAAGCATACGTGTTTATGTAGTTCCTCTGGAACTCAATTTCTTTCCCACTCAACATTTTTCCAGCAGCCTTTGTGTCTAACCCACTCTGGCTTCTCCAGGCTTCTCACCTGACAGGTGCCTCTCCCAAACCAGCAGGCAGCTCCTATGCTGTCACCTGACAGTACAGGGGAGTTCCCAGACAGCCTGTATTACATAGAGTCCTGGTGCCTCCTATGTCTTTGCTGCATGACTTTACAGGGAAACAGCTTCTCCCTCAAGTCTCAGCTCCACGGTCTCTGCAAGGGAGCTGGTGACAGCATTTTTTCAGGGTTGGGGACAATGAAGCTAACATGTGTAGTGCTGTGCCTGGTCCACTAAAAGCACTCTCTTCCTATTATAATCACTATTACTTTCACTCACTACTTGGTGTTGTCCTGTATCTTACTTAATAAGTTATTTAACAGGCTGTTGAATCAGGCAAATACTTAATAACCTTAATATTTAATAAGCTACTTAATAAGCTAGCACCTAATCAGCTACTGAGTAGCTCCCTTCTGTTCATTTGTGTTCCAGCTGAGGATGGCGGCTCATTGGCTCCCAGGAATGTAATTGCTTAATAGAATCTGTGATGTCCATCATAGCCTTTTGGGAATGTCACCATGAAACAGGGGCCTTTCTCTTCTCTTCCAGTTTCTCACCAAGACCACCAAGGCCTTGGCAAAGGTAAAGGAAGAAGGTGGAAACTGCCATGGTAACCTGGAATTAAAGCCTGAGCCAGATGAGGGGAGGTTAGAGGAATAGGAAGTACCATTCAAGCAGGGCCAACTGGCCACAAGCTTGGCCCCAACCTGCCCTTGAAGCCCAGAGGGCCCTCTCAGCCTTGCATGTATCCCCCACTGCTCCCCCACACAGGACTCCTTGGCACCCTGTCTTCAGTGCCTCAGTCTCTCCCAAACCCAAACCCTTCTGCCACATGCCCATTCATCCCTATAAGGACTCAGCTCCACTTCAGCCTCTGTCTGTTCCGAAGAATTGAGCTAGTGGCTATAAATAGGGTATGCTGCTCCTTCCCTTCACTTCCAAGCTATATTTTCCCATGCATCTGTTACTTCACTTTACTATAATTGTATGTCAAAACCATTTGTCTCCCAAGTAGAGTGTCTTCTGCCTTGTACCGAATTTTACTCATTTTGTGGACCTCAGTTGGAGGGGAAAGTGTTCAGCCAGCCCTACTGTTGAGATTCAAGCTGAGTTATTGTCTTAGTCTGGTTTGTGTTGCTCTAACAGAATACCAGAGGCAGGGTAATTTCTAATGATCAGAAATGTATTGACTCACAGTTCTGGAGGATGGCAAGTCCAAGACGATGAGGCAGTCATCTGGCAAGGACTTTCTTGCTGTATCATCTCATGAAGGGCAAAGAGAAGCTGAGAGAGCGAGAACTTGCAGCCTCCAGCTCTTTTATAATCAGCACTGATCCACACCTCCCATCATGTCCCCACTTCCTGGCACTTTTGCATTGGGCATCAAGGTTCCGACACACTTTGGTGGAGGGGGGCATATTTTGGCCATAGTGGTTATTTAACCTCTTTTTATAGATATGTCCTCATGTGTGAAACCAGACCTAACAATGACATGATATTGTTGT